CATACTTCTTAGCAGCCTGAATATTAACATATTTCAAATTTAGGATGTATAGTAACAAATGAATGCAATTTAAAGAACTTTTTCTTTCTGAATATATGCCAAATTTTATATTTAGTCATTTTTAGCACATAATTTATTTTAATTCAAATGTTTTAATGTTGAAAGGAATATAGTGACTACAATGCCAAATAAAATACTGAGGCAAAAAATGTTGGGAGATTTTCTGAAGCTAATTTTATTGATCCAACACATTCAAAAGTGTTAATTCTTTACAAGTCAGTTTCTAGTTTAAGAAATATGAAGTTTAAGAGAATTTCAGTAGGGTTCTAATATTTTTCTACAGTTCCAAGAAAACAAACATTATGTAAATTTATCTGTGAAATTTAAGAACAAAATGCCAAATTTTTGCTGGATGAAAACTAATAATATAACATTCATAAAATAAAAGAAAACCACTACATCTTTTGATTGTCCATCTCTGTTAAACATTACCCAAACTCATCTGTAAATTTCAGAGTTTGCACAGTCTACTATGTAAATACTAAAAGTCTGGCTCTGAGTTCAAACTTTAAAATGCTGCCATTCAGTACCTAGAAAGGGGAGCATAACAACTCTAGAACACCAATTTTGCTTGAAATCTATATGCATATAAAACACACAAAAAGAAGATTTTTGCAAAAGCCAAAATTTACACTTCTCCAAGAAAGAGAGGAAAAACTCAAAATTTAAGAAAATTCAGAAATTGAAAGATTAAAATTTTTTTTTGATTCATGCAAGTGGAATCAATGATTTTGAAGATGAAGCTCAGGCTTATGATGAATATTTTTCTTTTTCAAAAGTATACACAAATAGTCTTATTTTGAAAACATAAATCCATATTTATTTGAACATTTCTGGATCCTGTCAAGAGCAATCTGCAATTCTCTCTTCACATATATGTGCACCCTGACAAATTATTTGAAGATCATTGATATACAGTGACCCTGAGGTGGTTGAAGTAGTTCTATAACAACACAATTTATTCCTGAGCTGAAAAGAGTTAGTATACAGTCTTGAGCACATCTTGTCAAAAATATTTAATAACATACAGTCAGTCCTTACTTCAAATACCCTTACCTTAAAAAAGCTCTGTATGAATATTGGTAGATTGCTGTGCATGCCACTGAAAATCATACAAAACACTGTATCTCCCTGTCTTACCACAAATTCTTATATAGATTGTTTTGTGAACAATTTTTTTCAAAAGAGAAAAGTTAAACGGCTTCTTTTGTCAAAGGTTTTTCTTATGGAAGTTTTCATAAGGAGCGTATTATCAACAGTTGTCCTAACTTCGTGAAAACCAATCTGATATGGTAAGATTGTGTTTCCTTTTCCAAAAGAAATCGACTAAACAACAATTTACACTTTTTCCAAAGAGCTAGCTTAGGCAATTCATAAGGGCTTCGGCCAATAGTTAGAGAAGTTCTTTGTTTATTTTCCTAGTATAACAATGAGAAAGACCATAGCTTTCTCCCACACAGTGGGAAAGAATGAGAAAGAGAATCATTGACTGATAGGAGAGGTCCTTCAGCATTTCCTGACACCATCTGAACGTGGACATGTATCTGCAACAAAGCTCTCTTTTTTTCAGGCATAATAAAACCGCCATCATGAGGCTCTGACTTGGAAGAACTGAATCTTATGAAAATTTTTTCAGTGCACTGCTTGACAGAAAGAACTGGAAGTGGGTAGTTATTGACACTGGAAATGGCAATTTCAAAGATGTTAAATCTTTGTCTCTATAAATCAAACAAAGAGCATGTATGAAATATGATACTTTTTAAGAATAAAGGCAAAATATGGATTAAAAATATATCAGAAGAAACATTCTATTACTCCTTCATAAGTAAACTGCACACCCTCAAAACACACGGAAAATGTAAAACTTGTAAGTACTGAATTTCTTTCCCAAAACAGCTCCTCAGATTTACAATCAAGGCATACTACAAAGCTTCAAAAGTATACAGAAGAGAAATTATGAATAAATCTCCAATCAGAAAAAACACTAAAAAACTTTATATGATACACAGTTTTCTGCTTGATGAAAACTGCTTGGAATAACTTTTCTGCATTTATCATTCACAATAATTTAATCAAGAAATTGTAGAATTTATAAAATTAAAATTTGTCAAAGAAATTCTTCACATTAATGAAATATTGCAATTTGTCTCTTCTCTTCCTGATACACATAAAGAAAATGATATCTTTCAGAAAACGACAAAAAGTAAATATTCCAGAAAATTTCACAGCTAAGGGTTATGCTACAACTGATAAAAACATTCATCATACAAAGGATTTATCCAACAATTACTTAGTATTAAATTTGCTACCTTTTCAATACACTGAGGCAAGCAAAATGAAGATACATGGGAAGAACAAAATACAGCAATAAAAGACTCAGCAAATGCTTTTGGAGTGTCACATAATGCATCACTTCTAATGAAAGAATACAAATACAAACAAATATTTGACATCAATTAATACTTTTGAAATATGGTATAAATCCATTCTCAAAATGTGATCACAACTGAACAGTCGCTGATTTTTGCTTATGTGATTTATATATAATTGTTTTAGCCAATTTTGCAATGCATGCAACTAAGCAGAAATTTACAAGTATGAATTTTTAACTAACAAAATTTAGATTTTTCTTAATTTATGCAAAACGCATTTAAGTACATAAATTACAATAGTAATCAAACATCTCATTTATTTTAAATCTTTAACGAACTAATACAAAAAAATTATTTTTACACACTTTTGATCATCCAACACAACACAATCATTTATTATAGGCCTTTTCAGTTATTTCCTAAAATGTTATTGTAGCAATGGTTCATGATGTTTTAAATACTGTGTTTAGAATACCGAAGTTCAAATACAGGAAAGCCTACTTAATATTACGAAAGCTAAGACGAGATCAAGACTTAAAAGTGAAACATGTGGGTTCACTAGCTAACTGTATCATTTCATGGATTTCATGGATTTTACAAGCTACATCACTTAACCCTTTGAGCAGCACAGGTTTTTGGATCCATCGTGAAGATCCATGTTTAAACAATCTTTATTAGCTAAATTTGTATATTTTAGTCTCTATTTTCAAAAACCTACATTAAGATAACATTTATATTATATAAGAAAGCAAGAAAACAAAATAAACTAATATATACCAATAAACTAATATATACCAATTTATACTTAAATTATAAACTAATATATACCAAGTGACAAAAAATCTCATGATCGGATAAAGCCGGTCATGATGCTCAAAGGGTTAACAGACACAGATGCAGTGAAGACAGTTTAACCTCTAAGTAGTGAGGCCTATTGGATCTATTCATGAAGAGCTATATTTACACAACATTTATTACCTTGAATATCCACGATTATTTACTTTACATTTTATATTATTTTCACATATTTTTATTAAACTTCTATCTACTACGATGATATCTAAACCATGTAAGAACATCAGATATTATTTATGATCTCAACAAGGCATTATATCAGAAGATATCATGAAATGGATAAAATCTATTAAGCTGCTCAGATAGTTAATTACACAACACCAAGAAAACCATCTCCCAGCAGCTATATTCTTGCAAGGAACAGAAGACTTCTTTAAATTAAGCATTTAGTTGTAATAGCCAAAGGACAATTTCATTTTATAAGAAAAAGGCTATGAAGGCTTTTTCAGAGCAAAAAAATCTGTCTCCCCTTTTTAAAAATAAGTCATACACCATTTTTACAAGACTTTACGAGTCTTGTATAGCTTGCATACTATTTTTAACTGAACTTCTTCATGCTTTGGTGCAAGAAATGATTTACCCTTTACAAACATATAATAAAGAATAAAAATTAAAAAAAAATTTTTTTTATGCATGTCTGACAAATTTAACTACCCAAAACTGTTCTCAAAAAGCAGGATTTAGAAACTTCAATATGAATGAAAACAATTCTGACAAGAACAATAATCTAAATGATAATCTAAAGCTGTCAGAATAAAATAAAAAAAAAAAAACAGATGGAAGCTGCTATGAAAGCTGGCTTTAGAAAATGCCTACATAAAAGACAATTTGATAAACACTGATAATACAACATTTGAAACATTGGGACTTTTAGCAAAAGATGCATTTCTGCAAATTATCTATAAGAACAACGTAAATTACATCAGGAGTGCAAGTAAAAAATTGCCTAAAATAGCAATATTCATAGCTTTTGTAACATAGAATGAACAATATAGATGCATTAAGAACTCTAATAAAACTTTATGTGACAGAATTAAAAAAAATGAAAAATTATAAAGGTCCTTTAATGTGTTATGTCATAATATACCAGAAGGAATAATGAACATATCAAGCAAGCATAAAAATAAGTGATACTTTCAATAGTCATACACTGACCAGAACTATATACAATGGAGTTTACTACTGTAAAAACTGAGAAAAATTATTTTCATGAGAATTACATTTTAAGAATTTTGCTTCAATTATGGATATTGTGTGCAATAATTAATATGAACAATTTCAAACTCATTTCCTTTTTTGTATTAACCGAATTCAGCTACACTTAATAAATAAAACCAAAGCAGTAAACCCTCAGAAGTTATGAAACTTTTATATAAAGAATGTAATGCAAATATTTAGATAAAGTAAACGATTTGGAAAGAGCAACCTACATATTTCGCATATATTGGATTAGTTCACAAAATAAACTCTAGATCTTTGCTAAAACTGATACCATCATTATCATACTCATTATATATAATCATTACATATCATCATCATCAACAATAATTTCTGATCTGCTAAAACTGATACCATCATTATACTTGAAAATTAATTTGAAAGATATCTAATTCTACAAAGTAATTTCCTCAGCTTCAAATAAACTGAGAAATTCATAACATATTTAATACCATCAAATTTCCTTTTTTTTACATAAATATTTATAGTACTTACAAGGTGTTCCTGGAGGTGCATTAACAACAACAGTTTGAGATGTAGGAGGATAATACCCTGTTAAGAAATTGAAACAACAAAATTAATTGATTTGTTGAAAATTAATTATTATTCATTATATCCCTGAAACAGAAATATGTTCAATACCAATAAAAACACTTCTTTCTTTTTATTCAAATTCAATTAAAACATTCAAATAACATTTGCATTACACAATAAAACAAATGGAAATTCAACTGCCAAACAAAAAACAAAAAGGTCTACAAAGTACACTTGTTGAAATTTAAAGCATAGTCTGAAAGCATACATTTCCTACTTTAAAAAGGTTTCAAACTATGTCCAGTGGTGAAATAATTTAGTATATAGACTTCTGCACATAGGTTAACACATTAAATATGCAAGTTAAGCAACTAACAATGTGTCAAACAAAAGAGACATGATGCATTTTAGGTCATGCAGCATTCAGCCAACAATAAGGCCAACCACTGCCCTCCATAGGAAAAAAAAAAAAAAAAAAAAATCTGGCCATGCAGCACTGTCATATAACCTTCCTTCGGAACAGAGGAGCTATTTAATAAAAGACAACTTTAACTATTCTATTACTCTCAACTATCAGGACAACTGCATTTCAGAATTCAATGCATGAGAGACTGCAAAAATATATAAAATTATATAAATGTCATTTATCTTCTTTTAGTTTAAAAATATCTACAGTAAAAGTCTGGAAAATCTGGAATCAGATTCAAATAATATTGCTACAAAAATATTATACCTATGATTTGTAGGTGCTTTTTTTAAAAAAAATTACGTGAACTCATTCAAGTTTTTACATGTTTCAATTAAAACCATTTCTGTCTTCAAAACCACCACTTTTTGATGGCTCTAATGCAATACTAGGTGTAATAACTGAATTGAGCAGCACTTATTACTTATTCTAAAATCTCGATTTGTCAGAACTTTGGCGATTCCTGATTTTAGACCATCGGTTTAAATCTAGTAAGATGACATGGAGACATGGCAACACTGGGGCTTTACTTATTGTTTACATCATACAGGAAAATGCTAGGGTATGCTCCACAGCCGGTGCAAGTGCACTGGGTGTCAGAATTTAAGGCCAACAAAAATTTTAGAGTTTAGAAGAATACCAACCAACAAAAATTAGGCATGGCAAAATTTTTAGAGTTTATAAGAGGCACTGGTTACTAGTAATCAGGGACAACAAAATTTTATGATGCCTATTTTTATGACATTAGATTTCCAATGCATCGATCAATGAGAAAGCTGCGAACGTCTAAGAAGAATCAAAGGGACTATCAGGTTCAATGTTCCGTCTAACCTTCTTCGGGAACATGCAAGGACCTGACTCGAAACAGAGAGCTTACTAAAGCTATGTTCAAAACTGTGGGAAGTGGACAGGATACAGACGAAGGGTATACAAAACCCTTTATTTTTCTTTATATACAATGACTTCCGTACTTCGGAATACAATGACCCTCCACTCGGGGTCTAACGTAAAAGGTATATAAAAATAAACTAAACTCTAATTTAACTTTAGAATTACACACGTGTAAGATTGGCCTTATAATAACAGGAAGCGTATGTAAGCACAGAGACTGTGAACACTACAATACGTTTAATTTATCAAGAGGATTAAAACCTCTGGCCTGGAAGGCAAATAGCAACTGCGTAACTTCTAAGGTAAGCGGCCTGCTTTGACTCACTGCTTCCTCTCTCTCGCTTGGCAAAAAGCCACAACTTAAATACTTGGCGTTCGCCATACAAACTTTGCATAAATACTTTAATGCTTATAATTCTGGCCAGAAGTAGAAAATAAGAAGTGATAGTAAAGATTTAAAATAAAATAAACGTTAGTAAAACTTAAGATCCTTACAGGACTTTCTGATGAGGGCATTTCAAATATGGCACAATACAAATATGCTTTTCATAGTCAAATCCAAGTTTCCTCAATAGACAAGTGATGGTACCCATTATGGAAGACAGACTGTGAGTTGTAGACTTTATCCAGAATAGCAAATCTCAGCAATAAGTATAATGAAACAGTTTGTGTAAACAGTATGTGATGAAACAGTTTCCCCCACCACCACCAGAGATAATCTAGTAGAAATAAAGGTTTTTATGGGCATGACAGCTTATAAATTAATATTACTGAAGAAAATACTGCCCCACTCTTATTCAATTGTGAAATGTCGTTTCATTTTACAGACTAATATAGTGACTCAAAACACGTATGTGAATTTGTCAAGACCTCAATCACAGAACAACAATAAATTAGCTTAGTTAGCAAACAGGTTTAAATTGAATGCTTGTGAAAAGCATTAGAAAAGAAAGTAAAAGGGTTTAAAATAAAGCTTAACAATTTCGAAAACTTCAGCAGTAATCATTCCCACAGGAGTTATTAACATTTTATTCATACATCAATACTTCAATACTATCAAGCTGTAATTAATGCAAAATGTTTATACTAATGCAAGTTTCAACTAAATATTAATGCATTATTCCTGCCCTCCAAAAATACATCCTCATAGACTCCAACCTTCAGCAAACCTTGTCAGTAGTCAACGCGCGAACAACATTTTTACAACTTTGAAAATGTGCGCGTAGCGTATGTTGTAATTAACCATTCATTAATTTTAAATTAATAATTAATTGTAATCAATTTTATTACATTTAAAATCCATATACATATAAAACTGAATAATTAAAAATATACCTTGTAAATTATATGCACATTTAATTAGAAATTTTCTTTTAACTCCTCAAGCATTCACTAATAGAAAGTACTTCAAATCACTACTAATCATAGAAAAAAAATCAGAAGCTATATATCATATCTTTATTCTGGATATGATTTCTACAGGGAAATAAAATTTAAATAACCAAGAATGATACATATAAGTATTAAACAAAATACGCATAATTTATGAATGCAAAGATTTATATGTAGCATGCTTAGCAAGCTTAAGTTTCTGATTTTGAGAATGTTTTTTTATAACACAGTTCTTTCATTTGCCTGCATATTTATTTTCAATCAAAACTGCTTCAAGAGTTTTAAGACCTAAATTTGGTCGAAATTCTGTCTGATTTTTTTAACAATAGAAAAAATTCTTTCGCAAGCTGCATTTGAATGAGGTATTATTAAGACAGCAAGCATTACAGAAGGCAATACTTTGTATTAATACCCATTCATATTTTTTAATTTGGCAATTTCTCCCCATGCTATATCAATACGCAAATCTACAATTTCTTTCAAATCATCTACTTGATACATGGAAAATTCAATTTCTACTTGATTAAGACATTTTTCATCAATAATGGATGGAAAAGTATTCATCAAGTAAAGAACAGATGAAAATGAGACTTCAGTTCTCAAGTTGATGTCAGCAACTTCAGCATGTTTTAGAATGGCATCACTCAGTGGAAATTTATCAATTATATATAAACATGCAGTTACAAAAAAAGCTCGCACAGAATTGAAAAAATGATTTCACTTCACTTTCATTCAACTTGGCATTTTTTTTTTAAATATAGTCTTGTTTCCGCACCAATCACTAAATTTTCATTTTCTTTTTGTTTACTATACTTCTGAAATGGAATAGACGTTAGAGTAACATCTTCATTTTCTTTAGAAATTACTGATGGTTTTACGAATCTAACAAATAAATTCATTAAAAGTTCAAAAAGTTCTCTTCTCAATTTATGTATATAAGGAGCTTGTTGTTGCAAATTAATATTTACTGTTATAAACAAAGCAAAGTATTTTCAAAAATAACAAGTACAATTTGGTGGTCGGTGACTGTAAAATTTTTTAATGTTTTGCAATCTCTTTCCTTCATTCTCACTGTTTCTGGTTTATCTCCAAAAAAATTTATCACAGCATCCCACTGTTCCAAATCCTTGTTATAGATTCTAAAAGAGACAACCATCTCGTACTGCAATATTTCAAAATTTTATGAGATTTTGCATTCTGTCCCAAAATTTGTTGAGCAACTTTGAAGCTATGCTTCCGTTTCGAACTTTTCTCCAAGTAAAAATATATATCTATTATCAACATTTCAATTTCTGAGCCAATTAATTTTTCAGTAGCTTTTTTTGCAGCTATATGCAAGAGGTGGCACAAACAACCTCGGGTGATTATACTTGGTTGATGCATTTTGATCAATGATGCTACACCTTTAAACTTTCCAATCATATTACTAGGCATTATCTGAAGAAAATGATAAGCAATTTTCCATTCTAAACCTTTGTTTTTAAAGTTTTCATTTATACAATTAAAAAATACCTTCTCCTGTATTATTCGTGCATTCTAAAATAGAAATCAATGAAGTAATTATCACTCCCTTTTCTTTACTGTAGTATGTTATAACCAATGGTACAGTTTGTTATCATTACTTCCATCAGTACTTAGAGAAAATGATGTACTGTACTGCACACTGATTTTATAATATCAGCAACAGTATTTTCTGCAAGCGTTTTCACAATAGCAGCAGTTTTGGTATGACTGCAGCTAAATTTTTTGCTATGGCAGAAAATCCGGAAAACATGCTTTTGAAAAGCTCTTTGGAATGATCCGAAACAGAAAGCGGTAGATTATGTTCAATTAAAAAACGAACAAATAGCATTCGGCTTTTATAGGATCTGTTCATCATCTTTTATTAAGAAATTGTTATTTTTTAGATTTTACGGTGCCAAGTTCTATATGCTTTGAGAAAACACATGCAGTTTACAGTCTTTTTCCGCCATGAGCAACTGAGAAGTCTTTGTTGCATACACTGCAGTGTGCGTGATTCACAGAATTTCGGACGCTTTCATGCATGGAAATTCTGAAGAATATGAATCTTTAAACTTCTGCTTTGATAATTTTGGCTTCTTTTGTTCGAGGCAGCATTATGATTAAAAATCTTTCACCTGATTCACAGTTCACAAGACACGCTAAGCTCTTGCCGTAAACTACACAATGCAGCCGATTGCAGCCTAAACATGCATCAGTGAGGAACCTGGGAGACAGACAATTGGGTGGAACTATTGATAAGTCGTTA